TTCCAAACAGAAAATTGCTGAGAGAGCAAAATTTACATTGAATATAAAGATAATTTGCCAACATGTACTTTCTCAAAAAATTCTTTATTTCTTAATTAAATTACTAAAAATGTTCAAGGTAGTTAGATAAACTAAATTCAACTCTGAATAAAATTTTTAAAAAAAATGCAATATCTCAGTATGAAGTTATGTTGAAAATATAAAAGAAAATTTAAAATAATAAAAAAGAAATCAATTATGTATTTTTTTTTTTAGATTCTTTTTCTCGCCTTTCTGTTGTTTTTTTCAATAAAAGAAGCACAACTCAAAATCTAATAATAATTGACAATTTCACTCTTAAGAAATCAAGAGACTTCATTAAAATGTTTAAGTTACAAATATATAAAGTTACAAACTGATATCAGTCTATTAATAAAAGTTTTATTATGTATTCACCTAAATCAATTAAGAGAATCTTTAAGTATTTTAACAATTCCTGTGATGTCTTTAAAAACTAACAAAAAGGTAAATAATCAGAATAATTAATGTTTTAAAACTGCCAGCAGATCTTATCTATAATAATAAAATAATAAACATTCATTTCTTGTCTATTTACAATCTTTTTTTTTTTAAATATTCAGTAAACAAAACTTAGGATTTAACATGAAACACAAGGAAAAAGCATATAATTCTAGCACCTGAAACCAATAAAAAAAGGGAGTAGAAACAAACATGCATGCAGCATTTTTAGGGGGGGCATGCACAGTTCAGTGGAGGGGGAGGTGAATAGGTGAGCAGAATTTAAATCAGACTTTTAACAAGAGCAAAACGTGGCACTGGTAGCTGTAATATTAGCAGTGGGGGTGGGAAGAAATAAATGAACTTGTGATCTCGGACAACTGTGAGACAGCAATAAAAGAGGGAAGTGTTTGAAAAATAGATATAAAGTTAGACAAACCATCGCTTAGTAATTTTCCTCGCAGGCCAAGTAGACGAGAGAAGGATTCCATGTCTGCACATATTTTGGTCCAATTGGATAATCATTAACAATAAGATGAAAAAAAAATTAATCACAACACTGTTAGAAAAGACGGGGAAAATCCATTTTTAACTTTAAGAAAAAGAAACTTTTTTTTTTCTGTCTCCAATTTAAAATTTGCATTAAGTTTAAAGTCAAGAAAAATTAAAATTTAAAATAGATATGCATATATGTACTTATATATCACATGTGTGTCCTGTGTACAAAAAATAAGCAAATGTGTGCATCAAACAAAACCCAGATAGATGCCTTCACACGCACACAGAGAAGATGAGGGAGGGCTTTAGATAGCGTTACCAAAATTCCAGGGGCTGTGAAAAAGCGTGTTTTATCACACTACACTTGTATAGTTTCTATCCTGGTGAGAGAAGTTGTTAGTGCAATGAAAGCTGCTATGGTGACTGTAGCAGCAATGATAACTCTGGTGTTGATAGTGTTGATAATTTTGTCATTGTAACAAGACAGTTATCATCAGGAAAGGAGGCAGGTCCAGCTGTGTGTTAATCCAGTCATGGAAATGACAGTGTGAGGAGAGCAATAAAAGAGACAGACAGGAAGCACAAACACTGAAGCCTGAAATGATGCAGATGACAACATCAACAGTAGAACAAGCAGCAGCAGCAGCACCCAGGCAAGCTGCCGGTTAACTGGGTTTGTTCTGAATCAGCCTGATGCATTTAAAGTCATTCATTCATTCAGTTAGCAAAACCCATCCACTGAGCCAGCTACCTACCCTTTCACTGCTGCCTGCTTCTTGAGATCTTGTTACTTAGCAACAAGAATCGTACACTGAAAATTAATTTTATTTCTCACCTTAAATAACTCCCCATTTTACTATGTCCCTCAATTGTATCAATTCATTAGTTGGGGGGGTAAAAAGGAAAAGAGGGGGAAAACAAAAAAGTGGGGGGGGTAATAGAGTTCTTAAAGAGGGGGGAGTATAGGTGAGAATTAAAGTGGTTAGAAAGATTGTAAAAGTTATTCAAAAAATAAGTAACAAACAAAAATAAAGAGAAGTGAATAAACAACATAAAATATTTATTTCAAATTATTTCTTTATATAAGAAAATATATCAAATGTATCGATTAAACCCAAAGCTATGTAAAAGGCTACCAAAATGTTTCTAAAGGAGATCCAACTCAAGTGTACCTTACAAATATTAAGTAAATGATGAATAATAAGTGAGCAAAAGTGAAAGGAAACCAACCCACATTATTGCTCTTATCTATTTTTATATAATAGCCACTCACTTCTCAGTAAATAGCAAACGGCCCAAACAAACCTAAATCTATTGATTAGGGCTGATATTGATTTTCTTCTTTTTTTGGTATATGTGTTTGTCTTCTCTGGTTTGGTGTAGCAGTCACCTGGAGATGAAGAGAGAAGAGGGAGCCTGCTTATCCACTGCACTGGCTTCTTCATCTCCCCCACTAACACACACATACCAAGTGATTTTCTCCCTCTTCTGCAAAACTGACCAAACAAAATTCCTCACCTCACACATGAAGCACTAATGCTGAGTTTCAAGAGACAATAGAATTGAAAAACTAAAAACTAAGACGTGCCTAAAATTCTGAAGCACCTTATATGGCAGATTCCCTTCTCTGAATGTGATGAACAAAGAAATTCCAAGGGAGACAAAAGGCATAGACTATTCACAAGTTAGAATTTTCATTTTTTCTAACACAAAGAAATAAAAAAAAGCAATTATCCTTCTTACAACTTATTAAAAACATTAACAGAGTCATAAAAAGTAGAGAGCAAATGTTTTTGACAATATGGCTACTGTGTTTACTTGAATGTTATTTTAATAACTTATGCTTGGAATATTTTTCTGTTGTTTTTCTGCACAATGGTGTATGGAAAACTTAAAGTCTCCATACAAATGCACATTTTAAAGTGTAAACTTCATTGTCATATGCTATGAAAGTGAGAAATTGCATCACAAAGTGTACATTTTCAACCAAGAAAAATACTTTTGCAGTGATGTACCTTGAATTAGAAATAATATATTTTATTAAATCAAATTTTATGTATGAATTTTAATGATTAAAAAGTGTGAACTTTCAATTATTAAAATTTTGTTTATCATTTGTAGGTAGAGGTTGGAAGTACCAGTGTCTTGTCATGAAATCCATTGGCTACTTTTTTTTTTTCTTCTTTTAAAAAAGAATCATCCACTAATGATGTTTTAGGCATTTTTTTTTCAATTTAATTCATTCTTAAGGATCTGCCAGGTGATAGGACAGAGGTTTTACCCATTTTACATGAAAACACTATAGTGCATGGTTAAAGGCTTTTAGCCCTATGCTATTGTTAAGACCATAATACTGAAAATGATCTTCTGAAGGTACGTTATCATTTATTTATTAACCCAATTAATGGACATCTATTCACGCAGTCTGCTTTTCCTGTATTTGTAATGTTTTGTGATAGTGATTGATGCATGTTTAGTGTTTTTGTTGAACATTTTTGTTAGTATTATTATTTAAAGAAAATATATGCAGAACATTTTAGTTGGTGTTGTTGATGATCATTAACCTGGCAAATTTGCAGGGAAACATCCCAAGTTTTTAAGAAACATTTAATTTTGTCTCCCAATCATATTTTATTAGCCACACTCCATACATGAATAAAATCGGATCTACACAAGACTAATTGCAATGATTTTTGTTATGACTAATGTTCAGGTTAGTATGATCTTTTCAAAAATCTTTTAAAAAACATGACCCTATTCTATTTTGGAAAATATCTATCATCAAAAAAGGTATTTTTCTATGGGTTTAACCCAGTTTTTGAGTTAATCTATCAAGATATTTGACAATACAATGTGGTATTCAAATTTTTTTGACCATCAGAAATGTTATATATTTTTTGAGTAATTTTACCCAGAGTCATGGTAATAATCATTACAATAGTGATATAATAACTGGAGAAAAAAAAAGTAATTTTCTTCAAATGTGGCATTTTTGGCACCTAATCGGATTTATACACAACAGATCCTCAAAAATGCATAAATTGGATAAACATGCCTGAAAACATATTCAAGGGGTTAATATCTTTAAAAAAAATGTATGAAAACATATTCAAGGGATTAATATCTTTAAAAAAAAATGTATTGGCCATTATATTCTGAAGAAAAGCTTGTTTGTATTTGTAAGCTTTATTTGTAGTAGGTAGACTGTGGTTTTAACCTTCTTTAAATTCAAACTCTATGAAAAGTGTACCCTCCAAAAAGAGATGAGTATCACTATCAGGTTAGAGACAAAAACTTTCAAAGATCATTGAAAAGGAGTCAATACTCAAACACTTACAGTGCATCAACAATCCATGGAGACTTTCAAATTATTTCCAATTATACAGCTACTATTTCTAATCAAATTTATAATACGTTTAGTTAAAAACAATCATGAAATAAAAATTTGAAAAAAAATGCCCCAAGGGATAAAATCCACAAACCTAGTGTTAATAAAATCAATTGGCCAAGTGATAATCTACACAAGATTAATAAATGAAATAAATCCAATAAATCACATTCCTAAAAATGCAAAATAAAAACTGAAATAGTTTAGTTAAATTTCCTGAAAAGTATCTCAGAAAAAAACATACCAGATTTTAGTGAAAATAGAAAGTAATGTTAGACTAATTTCTTACTAATATTTACTTATATTTGAAAAGAAAGCTCAAAATACAAAAAAAGATGTGCAAAGATTGATTTATTCGTTTTTTTAATGGCTTATCAACATTCTGCAGGTTATTTAAAGACAGAAAATATTTTTAGATTGTAAGAATTTTTTGGAGATAATAATGATCTATTGACACAAGTCCTACTAATTAACACATAGCTGGGAGGAAGAAGTCAATTTATACCTTTCCCAAGGGTATTTGTGCATAAGTGAATATAACCTGAATGTAATTGGAACTTGGCTCTCTCTGATTTTCAATTCCGAGCTGTTTTCTATTACACAACTTGTACATCCAAGCACCTAGTTTTCCCAAGTAGTCACCCATCTAGGTACTGACCACGCTCGATGCTGTTTAACTTCAGTGATCATACAAGAACCAATGTTTCAACATGATATGGCTATAAGCCACAAAGTATAATAAATAAAGGTGTAAAAATTTGGTTAAATAGGAGTAGAGAAGTTTGCCAATCACCCAGTTCACACTCCTCTCTGGTCTATTGAACAGGAGTAAAAGTTTATCTCTGTTTAGGATTGAGTTAATGGTTACTCTTAATGTTTTTTCATTCTTTTTCACTCACAGTAGCAGCCCCTTTCGTCTCAGTGGTATTATCACCTTGCTTGGGGTGAAATGATTAAAAAAAATATATTATCATTAAATAATCAGTAATGTTCAAATTGCAAGGTACCAACTTAAAAGTCCAGTTTTGAGACTAAAATTAAAATATATAAAAAAAAAAAACTGTACTTTTCTTATGCATTAAAACAGAATTCTTGCCTACAATGTTTAATACCTTTAAACAAAAAATGATGATTGATCTACTGGGGAGGAAAGGACCCATTTCAATCTTTGAAACAAGAGTTTCTCCTTGTAATCAAGAAATAAAAGCTTGAGAGATGTTTTAATTACTAGAAATTTTTTTTTTCAACACACTCATGCCTGTTGAAATCCTTACAGTATTTAGTATTGTAGAAGTTCATTTTTTGCCAAGATTTACAAACTTTATATTTCATTCAATTTCACAAATTGATGAAATATAAAAACTTAAAGTTATACAAAAAACAATATTGCATTTTTATTAAATAAGTATTTGTTATTTTAATCATTTAATTGTTTTTAAAATAGTTGGAGTATTTTGTAAAAAACACCAAAAAACATTAAAAAATGAATCAAAATTTATTGTACTAAGCTATGCACCCTAGTAAAACACACTATACTTTGTACCCCCTTACCTGTTTGCACTTCTCCCCAAAATTTGGTTTCAAACAGTCAATGTATGGATATTTAAGAGGGTGTGATGTATGGGCAGACTCATGGAAATTGCAGATTTTTGTATATAGAAGGACAACTGTTAATATAAGATTTGAAATAACATCAAAAACACCTTAAGAGACAAACCCCACTAAAAAGATTAAAAAAAAAACATAAGTGATGAGCAAATCATTAGACGTAAATTCAGTAAGACTAACTGCTGCAAACATTCTGGTAAACAAACTTTGATTTAAATTCAAATAAAAAAAAATCAAATCACTTAAACCAATTCGAGTAAATTCTGTCTGAGACATTATTTCAAAAAGGACTGAGGGAGATTTTTGTTTTTACACAGTGCTTTCATGGGCATAACTTGTTAACTGTCTTGCTAAGAGCAAAAAATGCACTCCAATTTTTATCAACATTAGAAGCACATAACAAAAATTTACAGTAGGTAAATTATGCTAGCAATGAATTCACTTGAACTGGAGAAGACAAAATATTTACTGCAAAGATATGAACAAGCAAAAAAAGTAAAAAAAAAAAAAAAGAGGGGTTAAATCTGAGAGTTGAGAGCTTTATATGGACAACAGAATAATGTAATGTAGCTGCCCTATGCTTTTTCTATAAATACTTGCATGATAATTCTTCTGATGAACTTTCCTCGATGGTACATAGATTTTATTGATTTAAGCGCAGTACCAGATTTTACTCTTGAAATGGCTAGATGTAACTGTAAGTTGTATGCTAACAGTTTCTTGTCGTACTTCTCACTTGTGGAACTCTTTTCCCACTTATTGCTTCCCAGTCAAATTTGATCTTCAAAAATTTAAGTGTAATGTCCATCATTATTTTCTGTTTTCTTTATTCCTGTTCTTTTATTATTCTCTCTCCTCAACAGTCCTTTTTTTTTTCTTGTATTCTTTCACACTCAGTAACTCCTTAGTGGTTTTATTGCCTTGCTTGGGATAAAAAAATAAGTCACAGGATTTTGAAAAGAAAATGGGCATTTAGCTAATAGTTCACTGGCTAAACTTGTTTATTTTGAAAATGAACTCAAGAAAAAGGGTTGCAAGAAAGTGGGAGTTATTATTAGCCATAGTTATGCTTTTTTGAAACATTTTGAGCCACCTTTTATGTGTCTTTAGATGTCAGTTAGAATACAAGAAAAGATTAGAAAGTGAAACCCCAGGAAAATAAAATTGTGCAATCAAAGTGGACAAACAATTTTAAGTTGAAATTATAGAATTTAAATTTTTCTTTTAGAAACAGATTAAAAATTTAAAAACTGCTCTGCTAAATCAATAGTCCTTTGTTTCCAGTCACATATTGACTATAATAATCAACAGTATTTCATTAAAGACTAAACCTTATTATAAAGACTGACCTTACTATAAAGGACAGTGTCTGCATAAAGCATTCAAAGTATAGTATCTGAAAACAAATTATGATACAAGCTACAGTAGTAAATACCTACAAGCAAGCAAGTTGGTAGGTAGGTACTTTGAAATTAGTAGGTGCAGTCATATGCTCAATGAATAAATCAAAGAAGTGAACAGAAGAAAAGAAAGAAAGAAAAAATGAAGCAATTTTGGGCAAGAAAATGCTGAGCTACCAGATATACCATATGATCATAGCAAAAATAGAAAAGCTACTTTTGTTTTCAATCATGGCAGAGTTGCTGGCTTATCAAAAATGTTTCCCTACTCAATGACACAATCTAGACAGCGCTGAAGCTAAAAATAAAATCTAAGAAAGATAGATACATTCTGCACAATAAAAACTAGTTCGGGAAGGATATGATTGTCCAGATAAATGGGAGTGCAACTTTCTGCAAAATATCTACATTTCAACAATAATATTATCAAGAAACTTTTTTTTCATTTCAATGGAAATCATCTTTACAAATGGTTCTGTATAAACTATCAGAAATCCATTAAAAAAAAATCACCACCGTATTTAAATAATTACCTACAAGTTTAATGAATGGGGATATACAACTGACATAACAGTTCTTCAATGTGCCATGTTCCTTCAGGATGTAGGTGATGATGGCTTTCTCCTGTCTTTATTAGTAAGCTTTGTATCTTTTGCTATCTCTCCCAATCCCTGTTCTGTTAACTACCCACACAAGCTCATTGGGTAGATTATTTGCTGCTTCCCCCACCCCTCTCTCTTGCTTTCAATATTTCCTAGGAGTGTCAAATTTTCCAAGCCCTGCTTCCTCATTATGTAACATAGGGATTTCAGCTTCCTGATTTTTGTATGTTTCCTTTTTGTTTCCATTTTTCCCAGAACCTTGTCATTGCTCGTGTATGTAGTCTATGCTATTCTCAGCATTCTTTTGTAGAACATAGCTATTGCCTCAAGTCTCTTCTTCATCCATGATGAGATTGTCCAGCTTTTACTGCCATACAGGAAGACCAATACTAATTAGATCAGTACTCTTTTCTTTATTTCTAACAAAATTTTTCTTTTTCTTAATACTTTGCTTAGCTTTTTGTAATTCCAATTTTGGATTTCAGTGTTGCATTTTCTATTCACTGCCAAAGCATCAACGGCTTACCTGTTCATTTCCACATGAAAATAGAATTGGGAAAAGCAAGGAAGAAGAGTAAGGTGTGAAGGAGGATAGTTAGAGAATAAGAAGGAAAGAAAAAGGAAAGAGGTTGAAAGGAGAGAAGGAATCAAAGATGGGTTTACTGTCTTGCTTTTAACATTTCTATTTTTTGATATGGGTGAAGGTTTCTTTTTTTTTTTTTTTTTTTTTTTTTTGGTAATGTGAAAAATACCTTATATTGGAAGTGGGTAATATGCAATGGACATTATCTACAGTATTCTCGGCATCCTTCTGTAGAACATTTCTGCTGCCTCAAGTCTGTGATAAGATTTTCCAGCATTTACTGCTATATAGGAGGATTGATATTAACTAACAGTTCAGTACTCTTTTCTTTGTTTCTAACAACATTTTCCTGTTTCTTAATATTTTGCTTAGTTTTTGAAAGTTCTTTCTTTATTCCAATTTTAGATTTCAGTATCACATTTTTCATCCTCTGTTAAAGCATCAACTATCTACCAGTTCCTTTGAACATGAAAACAGAATTAGGAAAAGCAAGGGGGAAGAGGAAGGTATGAATGAAGATAAAGAATAAGAAAAAAAGAAAAAGGAAAGAGGATAAAAGGAGGGAGTGAATCAAAGAAAGGTTTATTGCCTTGCATTTTAATATTACTTTAATTTTTTAAAATGTATGAAGATTTTTTATTTTTTTTTATTTTTGTAGTATGAAGAACACCTTACATAGGAAGGTGGGTACATGCAAGGGAGACTATAATATAAACTTTTACAAAACTAAATTTCAGAAAGAAGAACCAGATTTAAGGCCAAAGGAAAAATCTTAAACTTGCACTGAATATGAAAAGCTGCTCACAGTGCAAATTCACTAAGTGCACAACAACTAGTGAACACTTAAACTCATCAACACTATCCTCCAAGATGAAATGGCCTTGAAATCATTTTCATGTTCTAACCAGTGAGTGAATGTCTTCAGTTCTTTTAGGCAATCATCTGATGCTGAATCACTGACAGTGGATTTATGTGATGCCTGATGCATTTTTCTTAATACTAATGAAGAAATCACTGAAGCATTCAAGCAGTTAAATAGCATTTAGGTAATCTAGTGAATCGAAACTGCACCAGATTTTGTAGTCAATAAGAACTAACATTTACAAGAAAAACATCTGATAATTCTTTGTATAAACTGGCTGGGCACCTACCATAGCACAATGGTTAGATAGCTTCTCTTACAGATCAATTAATGTAAGAAGTTCAATCCTCACTGAGTGCCCAAGTACTATGAGATTGTGCGAGAATACTAAGAAAATGACCTTTGTACAAAAATGGTGTTATTCTTAGTATTAAAGATTCTACAAATATTAAATCGCATCCTAAGTAAAAATTCAAAGAACTATTACCAATTAATTTTTTTTTTCTTCTTTACATAAATAATGAGTTATACATATTTTATGTTGAGCATTAAACAAAATGGGTATATTTTAATAAATTTTAAGTTTTTCTGTTAAAATAGTAGATAGATTCACCTATCATCTGGTTCACACATCTCTCCAGTTTTTTTGAACAGGAGTAGAAGTCTA